GTCATTTGTAGCAGTTTAATCGCTCAAACTTGAACCCAATATAACAAACTACTTTTTAATCATTATTTATTGCACTTAGTTATTTATGATAACTGTCGTGTTTTCTTTGCAGTTCTTTACGATAACTGTTATGTTTTATTTGCAGGAGGATAAATTTTGCTTTAGAAAAGGCTTGTGGTGTAGTTTCTCAATTTTCAGATATTTGAAATTATACCCGTGAATTGAATTAACTTTTTAGAATAGAATTTAATTGAAATACAACGATGGAAAAAGATTTTATAGTGTCAATTAATTATAACTATTAAATGTTAAAAAATATTTGACTTTCATTTTAATAATTAATAAAATAATATTAACGGATGATGATAATGAATTAATAATGTAAAACTTTTTACATTTACTAACCGTAGTAATTAATCTCTTTAGAATATATGTATGTATTTATGAATCTCATTAGAATTATTAGCTAATGACTACAAAATTCATGTGTTGATTATCATGTTATTTAATTAGTAGAAAATGAAATTTAGGTAGCATGTAGAATCAATTTTAAGAATCACACCTTTTATGAGGCTAGTGAGTGACTGCAAATGGCATAGTTCCAAGAAAAATAGGGATTTTTATCTAATAGTACCAACAGTATCGATGGCAAAATACCAAAAGTGTCAATTTTTATCTTATAAGGCATATTATTTTTCAATAATTTTAACTTTGGGAGGGAAGCATATGCAGTACTTGTTTATGTCCCCGTATATTAAGCTTATGTCTCATGCTTTTTGATAAAAAAACTCATGTTAATATCTATTTTGTTATTATGATTGCAGTAGTTGCTGCTATCTTCTTTTAAATATTAAGTATATTTTATTATTATGATTACTATATTGTGATCAAACTCATAATGTCAATAAAATTGATGTCATATTATGTGTATTTGAGTGAATTTTTTGTTATTAGAGTTTTTATTATTTAATTAACATTATGTTATTTGTTAAATTTTTTTTTATTAATATGTTTTTTAGTGATATTTTTTGAAATTATTGTATTTTATTCCTTTTACGTTCATTATTCTACTTAATAAAATATATAAAGTTATTAATAAATTTCGCTCTAAATTAAATAAAGTATTAGTTGAAGCTCTCATTGTGGTGGATATTTGTTTCATCTCGCTCTAAATTAAATAAAGTATTTGTTGAAATTCTCATTGTGGTGGATATTAGTTCTATCGGAAGTATAGAGTGAAAAAACATCAAAGATTATTATTATTTATTTGATTTGACATATTATTAGTAATATTATTATTTTTTATCATATTTCATTTATTCATATAGTATTTTTTAGTTCAATAACTAACATATATTTTTTCTTTTTCCTGGTTTTGAAGGTTGAAAAAGAAAAAATACATTTGATATCTCTTTTGTTTGAGATATTGAATATGTTTTTTTGTCTGTCTTTAAAGATCTATTCGTATTTGGTTCTAGAATTAAAATTTGTATTTGAAAAGTTAAGAAGTTATTCATATTTGATTCTAAAATTTAAAGAAATATTGATGATGAATGCATTTTTTTTTAGTAACTTTGTAATGTTGAAGTATGACTTAGATAATAGATAATATTATTCTGATTCAACTATATGACAGGTATGCAATGTTTAAGTGTTGGACTGATTGCTTATTATGTCAATTATAATGTTGCAATGTTATGAATTATTCTTGCTTCTAATTACGTGAATCTTTAGGTAGTGAAATGTTATTAGTAATCTTTTTTCCTTTTTTAAAAACATTTTTTAAGAAAAATAGTTCAAATAATATAGAAAGGTGTGTAGTCTATATGAAATAGGTAAAATAGACTATTTGAGAGTCTTATTCTAAAACAAAATTTTAAATTGACTTTAAAGTCAGGCTATACTTTTAAAAAGGTTAAATCAGACAAAAAAAAATTTATAGTAGGCCATAGGTTAAACTTATGTCTTAAAATCTATCATGGGCCATATTCAAGTCTTCTAAAGTTTAGCTTGCCCTTGCCTATTTCAATCCCTATCCATGATTAACATGTGCAACAGGGACAAAAGAGTATTGCAGATAGAGATTGGAAATGAACTTTGTATTAGAGGAGGTGGCTTATGAATTTTATAATGAGTATAACATGAGAATTGGATATGGTATTTGTCGAGAATATACAAATAAAAGCAAAAAAAAAATGAAATTTTGACTTCAAAAAGATTCACACACTTCGAAGAAGGTATACAAGGTGTTGGCAAAAGATATCAGACGATAAGGCACTCCACTAGAGCATAAACTAGAATAGGATATCAAAAGAACATGTGGTTATTTCACTTGATCGGAAGATAGAAAAATATAAATTTGTTGACTTTGTAGCACAATATATCGACCTTTTTGTGCCACTAGAGTATGTTCATATGATTCGCTCTAATCAATGCATATTTAAGGCACAATCATCACAAATTGTATCGGGAGATGAATCTAAATTAAGATCAAAAGACATTAATATATATATATATATATATATATATATATATATATATATATATATATATATATATATATATATATATATATATATATATATATATATATATATATATATATATATATATATATATATATATATATATATATATATATATATATATATAAAAGCAAGCTGCTGAAATAAATATTGTTGTTTTTACAAGACAAGACATTAAGAATTATCTTTGTACCCAAAGAATGCAGTCACTAAGTAGGTGCATTGATGATGTATTTCAAAAAAAAAAAAGTAAAAATTCATCATTCTTTTATGAATTTCAAATGGATGTTGAAAAACAAATAACAAATATATTTTGAACTAATACACAAATGATAAATGATAAATGATTATGAGTACTTTAATGATGTCATCATTTTCGACACCACGTACAAGACAAATAAAGATCAATGATTATTGGGATTTTTTGTTAAACTTAATAATTATAGAAAAACTGTCAAATTTTGGCAGCTTTATTATATGCTGAACCAAACCCTATTTTTTAGTGGTTATTTTAAACTTTTCTTAAGGCAGTGGATGGAAAAAAAAAAGCCTAAAACAATTTTAACAAATCAAGATGTTGCAAGTTTTAAAGACCATTTTTTTTAGTTATGCCGAAAACATTTTATGGATTATGCACTTGGCATATAAGACAAATTTTTAATCATCCATAGACTTACAAGATGGATAAAGAAATTTTTTAAAAGCATAAAATTATTTACTTGTTAATTATAAGGTTTCAGAAGGATCACGGTTATATATATATAAAAGGAAAAATAAATAAAATGACTATGACTAAATCCTAGAGAATAGAAAGTGTGAGGTAGGAGTTCTTTATATTAGATGAAGCACTAAGTTTGATCAAGAAATTATCAGATTAGTTGTCTTTGCTAAGAGCATGAGTAATTTTGAATTGATCACTCTTACATAACATATTCTCAGTCGCTTTAATCAGTACAAAATATTTTTAAATATTTATGGTACTTGGTGGTAGTGGTGGAGGCAGAAAATTTTTGAAGTTTGGGCAAAAATTTAAAGACAATAAATTCATATTGTATATATATAAATAGTTATTAACCAAAATAAAAGATTTTTAATTTAATTGATTTCGGCAGAATTTTAAAACTAACATAGCTATATCCAATTTGAGGTTGATACTAACATGTAATATCATTTCATGTGATTCATAATAATTCTTGAAATTAGTAACAAGTTAACAACATAATTTTATTTACTAACTACTGTAACTACAAACTAAATTTAAAATACAAATTCCTATTTAACATCACTTGAACCATATAATTTAGAGTGAACATAAATTGAAGAATTGGACCTAATATATTTTTTTATATTATTTAAGGATAAAATTTATTCTTTTCTTCTTCTTTTTTACAACACTATACATGTTTTTTTTTTATAATTTTAGTAGCTGCTACTTTTATGTTAAATTTTATTTTTTCAAGTATTCATTTTTTGTTTTTGGTTAATTTGGTCATAAATACCAACTTTATTTTAATTTTACACTTTTTATAATGTAGTTGAATCTAAATATTATCATATAAAAAATATTAATATAATGTATGCTTAATTGCATAAAAAAGAAAAAAAAATGTTTTATTTGTGAAAAATGTTTAAATTACGGCAGTTAAAACTGCAATTATCAATGACAAAAAACCCATCTTTTTATTTAATATATATTATGACATGAGAAATTTTATTCAAAAGTACTATTTTTCTACATTTTCGTTAATTGTGGCGGTTTTAACCGCCATAATAGCACTTATTAACCGCCACAATTTTCATATTTTTTTATAAAAGAAGACAAAATTTTGGGACCGAGCCCGGGCACATGCCCAGCCTGGCCGGACCTTAAAACCGGCCATGCTTGGTGGGAATTTCAATAATATTGATACAATAAGAGGAATCTGTATAGAAAACTATAAAAAACATTAGAGGAATTTCGTATGATTACCAAACAACTTGCTTGAGACGGACTCCTGATGCAACTTAATGTTAGAGACTTAGGAAGTTTCTCAAAGGGAGGTGATGTTGCGAATGTTTGAGTCTATATAGCAAACTATATGAGATTTACTTATACCTAAATCAAATTACTTCATAATATTCATATTAAATATACCTTAAAATAAGCTATTCGACAATACTAGATTTAAATGAAAACCTATGACATGTTATAAAATACGAAAATTATAATCATAGAATCACTTATAACTTTAGCGTCGACTAATTCAATTGCTATGACTAATAATTGAGCTACAAAACATATACATTCTAAATTAATTTTGGTTTGATGTGTCACAACATATTTAAATAATTTTGCAGAGCAATGTAATCATACCCACTCATAGTTTTACATTCTACCATAAATAAAGAAATCCACATTCTCATCAATTAATAACTTATTAAAGTACACTAATCAAGATAAAATAAGATCAAGAAAATTAAAGACACAAACGATTTTCATGATCCACCAGTGACACTACCATTAAAGATTTCAATGGTATCACCTTGACAAACATGGTGCCATCGGAATGACTTATCATCATCCATAACATTTTGTTTGTAAATGAAAAAATAACCTTCTGATGGAAGATGAAATTGAAGCCTTTGATTTAACTTATGAAGCTCTTTCTTCAATTCTCCAACATTATCAGAAGCATTCATTTCAACAGCTACTTTCTTTGTTCCACTTTTAGGCAAAACCATCAGCTTCAACTTCTTTGATGTTCCTCCTCCTCCACCTCCGCCGCTAACCACTGCAGGTGCCTCCGATCCCTGTGGCTTCAAACTCGCCTCGATTTCGCTCTTCTCTGAAACATCAAAATCGCGTAAGAAATGATTATCATGCAATTCGGTTCCAGTTGCATGCAACATGGCATTGCTCAATGGAACATTATTTTGGTCACTGTCATGAATTTTTTCTTTAAGCTTGGTATCTTTTTTGTCGATTTCGATAGGAATGTGAGATATGGACGTAGAAGTTTTGACATTAAGCTGAAATTTGGTATCCTGATCTATTGGTAGTTTCGAATGATCAGAATCTGCGGCGGCAACCATAAGATGAATGCGCGAGTTTTGAAAAATTTCGCATTTCCAAATATCGCCGTCGTCTTGAAGAATCTGGCCATTGAAAACTAAGGTTTGTTTGGAGATTGGAATTCCTTGGTACTTTTGAACTTTTTCTTTGATTTCTAAAATAGTATCGAAAAAACCTACTTCAATTGAGAATGGTCTTCCTCTTTGCAGTTCAAAAGTTACATCCATTTTATGTAACTGTAGCTTAACTCAATGGTAAAACTCAGAATATTTTTGGTGAGAGAGAAGGGTGTTCATATGCCGGAATGAGAATTTAAGGAATGAAATCAACAAAATTGATTGAATGTAGTATGCTCCAACACGTGTAAAATAAGTTGTATGAATGTACCACTTTTAACACAAATATAGGATCAAACCCAAAGTCCAATTAAGTGAAACGACTAAATTGAGTGAAGTAAGCCCTTGACCAAGTAAATTAAACAACTCATTACCAAATTATTTTAAAATAATTATTTAAAAAACGATAGAAAATATAGTTACATGGATGAGGAAATCAAACATAACCTGATTATAATACTTTTTTACTTTATTATTTAAAATAAAATAGTTCAAAAAATTTAACATTTGAGTTATTTATAATATGAAAAGAAAAATATCTTTTATCAAATTTTCCATACTTTAATTATACTTGAGTGTGTGAGCTCTCTTTATTTTCAAGCTCACTCTCTTCATTATGAAGCTTGCTCAGTCAGTTACTTATATGATTTTCAAGCTCTTTCTCTTCACTATAGAGGAGCTTATTCGGTCACTTACTTTTATGATACGTTGCATAGTTTCAGATATGTACCCTTTATGGATACGAAATACGTCATTATGATTTTTTTTATAAATATAATTATAAAATAATTATATTATTCAAAAATTAAAATATCAAAAGTTAAAAAATAATTTGTTCAAAAAAATTCAAGATTTTCGCAATAAAAATTCATTTTAAAAGTATCAATAATTCATAGAGTGAATGATATTTAGTTCATGTTCTTCGAGTTAAAAAATTAACAACTTCAAGAATACTAGGTCAATCAAATAGATCTCATTTATATCTATCAATGTCTTATATTTTTGTTGCTCCTTCATTATAAGCTTTACTCTTTTTTGAGAGAAAATGAAAATTTGTATGAATAAAAAATAAATTCTCAGGTCTTTTTGGATTGAACCTATTCCTTTTCTAATTGAATAAATTTATACGTACTCCAATTTATTTCAGGAGAAGATGAAGAACTTGCTTTTGTAAAAGGAGTTTCAATGCACTAGATTGAAGTTTAGGAATTGAAAATCCTAAAGTTATCTGTCATTCTTTTGGTTTCAAGTTCCACCTATCTTGTAACAATCCTTTCGCACTTGAGAGTTTAACTAATTCAATAATTGCCTATAGTATGCCATTTGCATCCAAAAACTAATTTTATAGAAATTTGTTTCTTTCATTACAAATCTCATTACGAAAACACATAGTATCATATGATATCTTTTATACGTTTTAAGCATCGATTGTATTTTGATGTTTTAGAATTTGATTATTGTTTCATTGTGTATTTGTAAGTTATTTAGATTTATTTGTGTGATTATAACATTTTTTCCATTTGATTGTAATCACTTCGGGTACTTAAATTGTACCACTAAGAACCCTTTATATTTCATAATCATATTCATTTGATCCTTATTAGTGTTTCTCTTTTTTAGCTTATGAAAGTTACTGTTTTGTCATTTCCACATGAGTAGCTTGAATCACAAGTTAGAACATTTTTAATTTTGATGATTTGGTAGTTAATTTGAATCATGAGCTATATTTGATTCTGATCAACCACCTATTGAAAATTGGAAAACAATTTTGGATCAAATGATTCGAATCATAATCTCATTTGGTTCAAATCATGTACGAAAAATGATTCGAATCATTAGTTTTAAAAATGTGATCTTTTTGACACTGTCCAGATTAATCTGAATAAAAAACCCTTCTTGATTCGCATCAAATTTTAAAAAATCCAATTTTCCATCACTTATTTATATGATTGTTTCTTTTGGTGAAAGTATCAAGTGTGGGAAACCTATGGTGATCCATAGTGGCAAAAATTGTGATTTTTGTCTTCTCTTCTTAGTGTATTCATCTTTACATCATTCTTCTCTCTTCTCTCCGCTCTGATCCTTCCCTTGTTGCCTCTGTCTTCGCTGACCACTTCTACTCTAACATCTTGTACTACGAGGTATCTGAATTTGCTGAAACTACTCTTTCCTGAAGCAGCTCATCATATTGCCTGCTTCAGGAAGAAGTACCCGCAAAAGTGTTAGAAAATTACGATGCGGTATGTGCAGGTAGAACCTGACCATGCAAAGAACGAGGAAGAGATAAGTCACGGACGGGAGAGACATGATCTGTAACGCCCCGATTCTGAATTTCTCATTTTTTTGTTAAGTCTTTCGATTTATTTGATTGATTATTATTTCATTTGTGAAATTTGAATATTAATATGTTATGTGTGCATATTATGATATTTTATTATTCAGAGAGTTTTGGGAATTAATTAGAGGGTGTTTTAGATAATCCTTAATTAGTTGTTATTTGAGAGAAATAGAATAGAAAGAGTATAAGTGGAAATAGAGAGAAAAGAAAAGAGATAGAAAGAAATAGAAAGGAAAGAAGAGAAAAGAGGAGGAAGAGGAGAAAAACCTAGAACCATCAAGAATCAACTTCTAAGCTTCGATTAATCAGGTAAGAGTGTGAAACTTTATTATTCTTTCTATGTGTATGATTATGTATATTTATGTTGGTTTGATTTTGGATTGGGGAGAGTTTTGCTCATTTTCCGTTTTAGGTCGAATTTGATTTAATCGGTAGAAATCGAGTTTTAACGGTTAAAAATGAGAATAAGTGGTAAAGTTTAGTCGAGGAATGTTAGACTAAGGCGGTTGGAACTGGTTTCGTGAGAATCAGTTGATTTTGGAAGGATTGGACGATTTTGACAGTTAGGAATTTCTGAGTTCACAGATTCGCTAGGGGAATGGGAGCGAAGGTTCGGCAGGTGAATCCCAGCGAGGGGTAGCAAACCAAGTCAGTAGCCCAACTCTGTCTTCACCAGTGAGTTTGCCAGGCGAAGGAGGCGGCGAGAGGCTTCGCCAGGCGAGTGTGGTAGCGAGTAGTAGCGAACACTTCCAGTAGCTACTGTCTGTCTTCGCCAGCGAGTTCGCCAGGCGAGTGTGGTGGCGAGCATTCGCCAAATGCTTCGCCAGGAGAAGGTCGACGAATGTGACAGCATTTTCTTTTATTTCCTGTGCTTTCCATTCAATTGTCGATTGTTTGGTTTAATTATGTTTAATCCTTATCTGAATGGATAATTTGTGTGTTGTTGTGATGTGATATGCTGTGGGTAGCCGTATTGTATGAAATGGTATTATATATATATATATATATATATATATATATATATATGTGTGTGTGTGTGTGTGTGTGTGTGTGTGTGTGTGTGTGTGTGTGTGTGTGTGTGTGTGTGTGTGTGTGTGTGTGTGTGTGTTGTGATATATATGTATTATGAATGCATGAGTATGTTTGTGAACATGTGTGCATTTCAAGAGTGTATGGAGTCGTTTTGCATGTGAAGCATCATGATTGCATTCTTGTGTGTCTGATCCCGCGTAGGATCTGCAGAAATCTCGTGTGCCGTTGTGGGGTGTGAGCGATGGTTTATTTTTGATCCCTAGGAGGATCTGCAGAAACGATCGTGTGCCCTTGTGGAGTGTGAGCGATGGTTTATTTTTGATCCCTAGGAGGATATGCAGAAACGATCGTGTGCCCTTGTGGGGTGTGAACGATGGTTTATATTTGATGTTCCTCCTCCTCCACCTCCGCCGCTAACCACTGCAGGTGCCTCCGATACCTATGGCTTAAAACTCGCTTCGATTTCGCTCTTCTCTAAAACATCAAAGTTGCGTAAGAAATGATTATCATGCAATTCGGTTCCAGTTGCATGCAACATGGCATTGCTCAATGGAACATTATTTTGGTCACGGTCATGAATTAAACAACTCATTACCAAATTATTTTAAAATAATAATAATAATAAATGATTTAAAAAACGATATAAAATATAGTTACATGGATGAGGAAATCAAACATAAGATGATTATAATATTTTTTTTTACTTTTATTATTTTAAAAAAAAATTGTTCAAAAATTTTAACATTTTCGATCAATTTCAAAAATTCACAATAATATTGGGAAAAACATTTGAGTTATTATTTTAGATATCAAATTAGTGTCGCAAACTATATCTCAGACACTTATGTTTCTTTAATTGTAATATGAAAAGAAAATACCTTTAATCAAATTTTCCCTTCTTTAATTATAATATGAAAAGAAAAATCTTTTTTGGCTACATATTTTAAATCATTCTATAAATTATTTTTTTTATTCTATTCTTTCATATTATTAAGAAAATTGCAACTACAAGTCTAAAGTTCATATGAATTATTGCAGAAAGATATTTATTATTTTGTGTCATGTTATTATGCTTTTTTTTTTTGTTGACAAAATTGAGGTGAGATTATTGAATTTTGTTGATTAGGTTGTAGTTTAGTGGGAACACTTGTAAAATTGAAAATATCAAGAAAATTTTATTATTTTTGAAAAAAATTATGTTTTATTTACTGTTTACTCTAACTCGTTAGGATTAAGAATTTAATTTTTCAATTTTTTATTTTATTAACTTATAAATATAATTTTTTTATGAGCTCTCTTTATTTTCAAGCTCACTCTCTTCACTATGAAGCTTGCTCAGTCAGTTACTTATATGACTTTCAAACTCTTTCTCTTCACTATAGAGGAGCTTACTCGGTCGCTTACTTTTATGATACTTTACATTAGGGGTGGACAAGAAACACCCACCTGAAAATAACCGACCGAACCGGTGTAAAATTTCTGTTTCGGGTCGGTTTTACTCGGTTTTATAGATTGGGCGGTTGGAGCAAACGGGTTTAGGGGGGTGTGTGTGGTCGGATTCGGTTGAGACTTTTGGGCCCAGCGAAATCCAAACCCAACCGATTTTGTAGTATGCTAATTTAGGCCCATGTCAATTATACGAAAATCAACATGTCCAGCCCAACATCTAACTATCCAGCCGACTACAACTAAACCTAACACTAACATAAAATTCACTTTTCTCCTAACCCTAAAGCTTCAG